CTTCGCTCATTAGTGTTCAAAGCCTCAAACCTGTTCCTGAGATGATTCTGAAATTCAGGTGATATAGACTCAAAGTGATATTTTGACTTCTGTGGATTTGGTTTCATTTTCCTCATCTTCAGCTTGAACTTGCATGTGAGTAATTGGTGGTCTGTTCCACAATCAGCTCCTGGCCTAGTTTTCAGAGCTGATATTGAGCTTCTCCAGCGGTTCTTTTCACAGTTGTAATTGATCTAATTCCTATCCGTACCATCAGGTGAAATCCATGTATATAACCTGCGTTTATGTCTCTTAAAAAACTTATTTGCTATGAATAAGTCATTGATTGTGCAAAATTCAATCATTCTCTCTCCAGCTCCGTTTCTGTCACCAAGTCTGTTTTCCAACTACTGAACCTTCTTCTCTGATCCCAACTTTTGCATTCCAGTCACCCATTATTATCAATGCATCTTGATTACATGTTCGATCGATCTCCGATTGTAAAAGTTGGTAAAAATCTTCTATATCCTCTTCCTTGGCTCTGGTTGTTGGTGCATATATCTGAATGATAGTGGTATTCACTGGACTTCCTTGTAAGCATATGGATATTATCCTGTCACTCACAATATTGCACTTCAAGATGGATCTAGAAATGACTTTTCTAACTATGAAAGCAACCCCATTTTTTCTCGCCTTTCCATCTCCGGAGTAATATATCATATGATCATCTGACTCAAAATGCCCCACGCCAGTCCATCTCATTTCACCAGTGCCTAGTATGTCAATATTTATGCATTCCATTTCTTCCTTAACAAGATCTAATTTTCCTGCATTCATGGTTCTCACATTCCATGTCCCAATCACTAGTGTCTGCTTACAACTGTTCCTCTTCCTTTGTATTTCCATACTTGAAAGCTCAACCTCAGTTGCCCTTTCTGTTATCTACATGTGTTCTGTTGTACATAGGGTTTTAAGAGGCCTGCTATTTCGGAATTGGATGGCCAATCCTTCTTCCTAGTCTGTCTTAAACTGAATGTTCAGATTTAGAGAAATACCAGGCAGACCAGCATTTTACAGAAAAAGTGAAAGATACATCCATGGGTAATGCCAGGCACTGGTGCAGGCCCAGATCCAGGCAGGTGAGCTGTGGGCACAGGGCGCGGGACACTGGCTCAGCCCTACAAGTGGACAGGTGAGCTGTGGGCATAGACAATGCCAGGCACAGGTGCAGCCCCAGATGCAGGCAGGTGAGCTGTGGGCACAGGGCGCGGGACACTGGCTCAGCCCTACAAGTGGACAGGTGAGCTGTGGGCACAGGGCCCGGGACACTGGCTCAGCCCCAGGTTTGTGCAGGAGGGTTGTGGACACAGGACCCCTGGTTCAGTAGCAAGTACACTGTGGGTAAGGGCCCTGCAAGAAGCTGGCCCAGCCCCGGGTGCAGGCAGACTGTGAACACCAGGGGCCACTTGGAAGCTGTTGGTCTACAGCCATGTCCACGGCTCTGAGTGGGGTCCTGCTCTGGGCAGGGTGCACTCTGAGGATAGGGGGCAGGGACCTCTGAGGGCCCACCTGGGCATCACCTGGTGGATGTGAAAGTGAGCTGCAGGGAGCACATTGAGGCAGCAGGGTGGCTCTCCTGTCCCCTGTGGGCTGTCCCTCCATGTCCGGGAGTCCCTTTCCCTGGGCCTCCTCTGTGGCCACTGAGTCGCAGGTGGTTGAGGTGGGCTGGTCTCCTTGCGGTCTGGGTGGGGTGTTGGGGAAGGAGCCCTGTGAGTGGCTAGCTAGCCAAGCTCGATGAGTGCATAGGAGGAACGAAAGGGTTAAAGAAGGACCATGGACACCTTGAGGGGCAGATAGCGAGGGGTCAGTCTTCACAACACTCAGGTTGGCCTGGAATGCCCACATGGGTAAACTGAGGCAGGCAGTGCTCCCCCCCATGGTGGCAGTGTCACCACCAAGGACAGTGCCAATGTCTGGATCCCAGTCTGGTCCTGCCCATGTGGCCCTGTGGCCCCTTGGGGTTCTCCATGGAGCCCTCATACCCCTTCCCTTTGGAGCCCCAGGCCTCAGTCCAGGTCAGACTGACCAGTGTCCAACCCAACTGACTGCCAGGCTGAACCAGGACCCTCAGGGATGGGAACAGCATCCCCTTGGATGGGGCTCTTGCCTCACTCTCTAAGTGGCCACATGGGGTCTCCCCTCTTTCTCTTTCAGAATACAAGGTAAGGAGTCTTCTCACTCCAGCTGCTGCACGCCGAGCCCGCCTGCCTCAAGGCTCTCGGCTGTGCCTTTTCCTGTGGTGTGTGTGTCACGCAGTATGTATGTGCCCCGTGCACTGCTCCCCTGGGCACCTGTTCACTTTGGCACCTACTTCCCTGGGCACCTGCTCCCCTGGGCACCTACTCCACTGGGCACCTGCTCCCCTGGGCACCTACTCCGCTGGGCACCTGCTCACCTACTCCCCTGGGCACCTGCTCACCTGGGCACTCTTCTGGGGTGACTATACTTTCTTCCCATCAGATCTACCCTTATGATGCCCTCATTGTCACCAACCGGATTCGTGTGAAGCTACCCAAAGATGTGGACCGGACACGCCTGGAGGTAAGAGGGGTTTGGGTAAAGCACTTAGAGGGATTATTTCAGCTGAGTCGTCCAAGTCAAGGCCCACTAGTGCCGAAGGTATAAGACTACTCTGCATGCCCGAAGGGGTGATTATGGGAGAAGGAAGAGTGGGTGATGGGAGAAATCAAGGCAGGGGAGGAAGCTCAGCCACGGTGGCCAGCTCAGGCTCTCCTGTGCCGCCTCCTCTCCGCCTTGGCCCCACACACTCCCCATGCCCCCCTGCACACTCCCCCTTGTCCTCGCACTCTCCCCCGTGCCCCTGCCCCTCCTCCGTGCCCCTGCATCCTGTCCTGTGCCCCTTCCCCCTCTCCCGTGCCCTTGGCCCTCTCTCATGTCCCCTCCCCTTCCTCTGTGCCCCCCTCCGCACCCTCTCCATGCCCCCTGGCATTTTCCATGCCCCCTGCCTCTCTCCTGTTTCCCCTCGGCCTCTGCCTTTGTCCCCAAGTCTCCTTCACTCCATGGCCTCTCCTGTGGTCCTGGCCTCTGTTGTGTTACTCCGACTTCTCTGTGTACCTCAGAAATGTCACAGTCCCACATGGTTCACTGCTACCTCCTCTGGCACACACCTGTCTAGAGTACCACCAGGCCCCGCCAGGTCAGGAGGCTGGCACATGTTGGCACAGGGCAGTGTTATGTGGGGCTTGTGGAACGCCAGGCCCAGCCTTGCCAAGCCCATCCTGGGCCGAGGGAGGAGAGCTCATCCTAAGGTCGAGGTGCTCTTGGTGGACACTTCACTAGCCTTCACCACCACCCCTCACTCAGAAACCCTGCTGGCCGCCACCTAGCCATGTTCAGAAGTGCCTTGCTGACTTGTAGGGAACACTCCTTTGTAGCAGGCAGGGCCCACACTGCCTCATCTGCACTTGTGTGTTGGTGCCTGGGAGGTTCTGTGAGGGGTGAGGGTCAGGGTTACTGGCTAGTTGCTCGACCAGCCAGTCCAGCTCACAGAGACAAGGGTGGGGGACACAGTGCACCCAGGGCCCTGCCTAGCAATGCTTGAGGGCTCAGTGGTGGCCAGGCAGCCTCGTACCGAGTAGACAGTGGAGCAGTCCTGATTACGGACCAGCAGAGGCTGGACAGGGAGAGCCTGGCTTCAGAAGGCAGCCCTGCCTGGAGCCTGGCGGAGGTCTGGACATTCACGTGGATTCTCCTCGGCCAGGCAGGGAGAGGACACTCCAGACCATGGTGCACAGAACACAGGCTGGGACAGGGTCCTGCCAGACATGCACCTGGACACAAAGGGAGCTACTGCTAGTCACAGCCAACAGCCTTGACCGCGTCCCCAGAGTGAGGGTGCGGATTCCTCAGGTCATTAGCCTCACAGCTGGGGGACAACACCCGCCCCGGTCCAGCTGTCCAGACTCGGGCTGAGGGCTGGGCCACCTGAGGATCTGCGGGTCCTTCCTGTCTCTCCAGCTTCTGGAGGCTCCGATGCCCCTTGGCCTGTAGTCACATCAGTCTGCCTCTGCGCCATCATCGTGTGGTGTCCTCGTGCAAATGTGTGTGCGTCGTGTGTGTATTGTATGTGTGTTGTATATGAATTGTGTGTGTGCACTGAGTGTGTACATTGTGCGTGTGCACTGAGTGCATTGTGTGTGCACTGAGTGTGTACATTGTGTGTGTGCACTGAGGGTGTACATTGTGCATGCATCAGTGTGTGCAGTGAGTGTGCATCGTGTGTGCACTGAGTGTGTACATTGTGTGTGCATCAGTGTGTATTGTGTGTGTGCATCGTGTGTGCAGTGAGTGTGTATCACGGTGGGAACCTCTGCCTGTGAGGACACCATCCAGATGGAATTGACCCACTTCTGGGGAGTCGGCTCCAGTTTGCAGCCCCACCTCCCCTCCCCCAGGCTGGAAATATTTGCAGGAGAAGACTGACTGCCCAGCTTTTCCCCTGAGGAGGTGCTTGTGAACTTGACCTGCTGACCTTTTGGTGTGCAGCCTGAAACCTCAGGCCCTGTGCCCCCAGGGGATACCCCTGCCCCATCCCCACTGAGCACACCTGTGGTGCCCTGCTCCATAGGGAGCAGCACTTCCAGCTCCAAGTCCTCTCTGGCAGTTTGTGGCTCCACAGAGGGTGGTGGACGAGTCCTGCTGGGCAGTTTACAGCCTTGGAAATGCGCCAGGGTCAGCGCAGCAGCTGTGAGCAAGCGCATGCCTTTGGATTGTGCTGTTGATGAGGAGGGCTGAATACAGCATAGACCGTCACTAGAATCTAGGAGCTCTAGTGGGGTGAACCAGAGGGCTGGGGCTGCCTGGCCCATGGCAACATCTCTGCCGGGTCCACAGGAGAAAGGTGGACAGGCTCATCCATGCGGTCAGCAGACTCAGAAAGCCGCTGGAGGGTCAGTTCTGACTTGATGATGGTGAGTTTTGAGTTACTCTTGTAAGACCTCATTTTCTCTTTACTGCCAACACCCTATTTCCAAATGAAGTCTCATTCACAAGATCTGTGTGGACAGGAGTTTTTGGATAAACTATTCAGCCCACTTGCTGGCTGAAACTAAAGCGGCTCAGATACACTTGCTGCAGAAGGTCAAGGACTGTCATCTTCAACACGAATTGAAGTTCAACATCAAGAAGACAAAGATTCTCACCACTGGGCCAATTGGCAGCACCATTGGTACATGGAGGTAGATTGGTTTTTGACAATTACAGCTTGCTCAACTCCACAATCAATAGTCTGCCCCAGCAGTTAGGAAATCAAAAGACAAATTTCACTGGGGAAGTCTGCTGTCGGGAACCTCTCCAGAGTGCTAAAGAGCAACTATGTCAGTTTAGAGACTAAGGTGCACCTGACCCAGGCCATGGTCTTCGCAATTACTTGCTATACATCAGAGAGCTGGACAATGACTAAGGATGACAGAAGAAGAACCAATGCCTTTGAGCTGTGGTTTTGGAGAAAAGTCTTGAACATACCATGGACCACCAACAAAACAAATAGGTCTGTCTTGGAGAAGGTGAAACCAAGTTTCTCCTTGAAGGCAAGAATTTTTAAGCCCATCTCACACACTTTAGGCATGTGGCCAGGAGGGATAATTCCTTGGAGAAGAACACCATGCTTGGAAGGGTGGAGGGACAGCACAGGAGAGGAAGACCCCCAGATGAGATGGATTGATACAGTAACCAGGGCAATGGGGGTAGGTGTGTCAGAGTCAGATTGGCTCAGGACAAGGCCAGCTTCAGAGCTGCTGTACATAGGGTCGCTATGGGTCGCAGGTGACTAGATGGCATATAACAACAGCAGCATTCAGCCCACTACACCCTTCCAGAGTGATATAGACAAGAGACCTCACCAAACAGATGACACTGCAATGGGGTTGGGGTGGGGTAGGTGCAGTGAGGAGGGGGGAGCGGAGTGTGCTGGTGCAGTGTTTCTGGGGCTGTGTGTGCTGCCCAGTCAGTCTGGACTCACAGGGGCCCCATGTGATAGAGCAGAACTGCCCCACGGAGTCAGCCAGGCTGGCCTCTTCCCAAAGCTGACCACCCGGCCTTGACTCTGCAGAGCCAGTGGTCAGTGCGTGCTGCCCAACTTTTGCACTTACCCGGTGAGCCGCAGGGCTGCTCTGCAGGTTGGGGCGGTGGAGCATGTCCATTTGGACCCTTCCTATGGAAAACAATAGGGACCTGACCAGAATGGCTTGAATGGAAAGGGACCTACCAGCTCATGTGACTAACAGAGGAGCCCTTCCAGGTGTGGCTTGATCAAGGTGTCTTCGAGGTCAGCTTCTTCCTCTGTGTCCACAGCCTGTGAGGTCAGACTTTGGCTTCAACCCTCCTCACTCTCAGGACAGCAGCTCAGCAGACCCAGCGATGCTGCATTGCCGGCTCTACTCTGGCGATGTGACCAGCCAGTTGACCAGAGAAAGCTCACCAGCTGGTCCCGGCCACATTCCCCGCTGGCTGCTGCAGGGGCAGCCCTGCTCTGAGATGAGGGGCCTGACGCTGCCTCCTGGAGGCCAGTCACCTGGAGTCACCTGCAGGGACCGAAGAAGTAAGAGAGAGCCTGGACACAGAGGTGTGTGCAGGAGCCCAGCTGAGGGCGGCCAGTGGCCAGCAGTCACCAGTGCAGCTCACCTGGTCAGTTGTCGGTGGCTTGAGTGCAGCCAGCATTCAGTGTGGTCACCTGATCAGCAGTTGATGGTCAGTGCTATTCCATCTGGCCAGTACGGTCAGGGGTCAGTGCTGTGGTCCAAACTGCTGGTGCTCCAGCACCTGGATGGGGGTCCAGAGTCTGTGAGGCCTGTGGTTGGACAGCTGACCCTGGCCTTGGCCATGGCTTCCTCATTCTGTAGTCGCAGAAAGGCCATGCATGGGTGCTCAGAACAGAGCCGTGCTTTCCCCAGGCCAGGGCCCGGAAGTCTGAATGGCAGAGCGAAGTTCGCACCACTGAAAGCCCTTCATGTGCTGAGGCAAAGACTCAAAATGAGGGGAGTCAGCTGCGAACACCCATTAGCAGTTGGCTCACGGGATGTTAAGAAACGTGAGTCCAGGACCATGTCAAATGGTCAAAACTAAGTGGAACACATGAAGATGGACATCCTGGGCGTTAGTGACCCAAGATGGACTTGGACTGCCATTTTCATCAGATAGTCACATGACCTACAGTGCCAGGAGTGACAAACAGACGAGGAAAGGTGTGGCTTCCGCTGTCAAAAAGGGCACTTCAGGATCTATCTTGATGGACAATACTGTCAGTGACAGGGGACTGTCCACACCCATCCAAGAAGACTTGTTATTACAAACATCAGTCAAATAGATCTACCAACATCGAACGCTGAAGAGGAGGAACTCGATGATTTAACCAACTTCTGTGATCTGAAGTGGAGCAAATATGCAATCAAGGTGCTTTTATGACCGCTGGTGACGGGAATGCAGGTGTTGGAAGCTAGAAAGGCAGGTGGTTGGAAACCATGGCCTTGATGACAGAAATGAGGTGAGAGACCGGATGAGAGAATTTTGTAAAATGAGTTCTT